ATCACTTTATTATAGTTATTACAGTGAATTTGTTTTCATTAAGCAATTTTCAACAAAGTGTCGAAAGTAATCAGGATTGCTTTTGCCTTGCCTTACTGTGCTCTGTGATTGGTTAATAAAACTGACGCCACCGTCTCAACCAATCAGATACAAAACGTCAATGCGCGACTTCGTGAGTCGCGTTTTTCCGCGCTTCAAACAGGTTGCCTTTCCTAACTCTGACTTCTGATCGGCTTCTTGCGATATTTTCCTGAGCTTCAAACAATTCGCCTTTTCTAACTCTGACTTCTGATTGGCCTCTTGCGATACTTTCCTTCTTTCTGATTGGCCGTTGTGACTTCTTCGGTTTAGGTTATATTACACTCAATAAAGTAGAAATGCGCTCGATTGTTGTGATCATTCACTTGTTCATATATTTTTTCGTTTCTTTTCTTGCTTGTCGATTCATTCGTTCCTTAGCTTCCGTGGAGAAACAGAACATTGGTTAATAATAGCTCGAGATAAATCTTTAGTTTCAGAACAAAAGTTACCTTGAAAAAAATAGTCATAAACAATGTTCATTCAGTTTATCCTTCTTCAACTTACTGTCTTCAAAAGTTGTGTTGGAAACTTCTTCACTCCTCGGCCCGTCACCAATAACATTAACTGCTCTAACTACAAACCAGTACTTAGTGAAACTGGTTAGGGTTTTTACTTCTACGCTGTTCTTGTTATTAGCTGTGACGAGATTACTTAATTGGCCTGATTGCGTTCTATATGCCACAACATAACGGATAATAATTCCGTTCTGCTTGTCGGGAAGAGGCGGGCTCCACGTGACTTGTATAGACGTTGATGAAAGGGTCCAGGCTTGGACGTTTTGCGGAGGACCTGAAGGCTCTGAGATTGAATCAAAGTTTCAAACGAATAACATCACATTTCAGTGCACAGTTTGCAGAGTTCAAAGTATATCACTTAAGTGCATGACTAAATTTTAGTTAAATTGAATTTGATAAATACAGAGTTAAGCAAAGACACATATGTCGCAAATTTTGGTCCATGCGCGCATAAAAATCGTATATGCGCGTCTGGATACCCTGCGTCTGAGCGTATGAAATACGTCGCGTTGTTAACGTATACCTAAGCGGTACTGTAGACCGTCTTACTCTCTGCGTAAGACAGAGAATGAAATAGAGGATCAGACAGACACGCCGGCCGACAGGCAGGCAGGTAGGCATGAAAAACGCATTTAAAAAGCCAGCTGCTGCAGCATGGCCGCGAGGGGGTCAGATGGGACTGCCCACTGACGTCTTTACCAACTGAGAAAAAACGTCTGCCAAGATCAGACAAACCAGGGACACAAACAGACAGACTGAACCTTATGACAAGCGAAGAACTGGCTGACAGACCTACCCACCAACAGACGCAGACTGGAACCAAGTTAACTAACCGACTGGCTAACTGTATTTCTGTTTGTCTACCTAACTGGCTAACTGACTGATTGACTGACTTTCCTACAAACAATCTGGTCCAAGACTACGAACCTTCCATAGAACACTAACGAGGGCAGGTGGGTTGGGAAAACTTGGGAGGAGACCTGTATCGCAGTTTTACACCAGGATAGGAAGGAGAACTGGTAACGAGCAACTAAAATTCACACCTCCCTAAGGATCACTGTTAGTATCTGAGCAACTACGCACCCACCCCTCCCCTAATCCAACATTAACCCTAAATTGTTCTTAGTTGACTGTTGTTAGGTTAAAGCAGGAATAGGTGCGCATTTGCTCAGATAAGGACATTTATCCCTTCTTAAGTACCAGTGGCGGATCTAAGGAAGGGGCCCAGGGGGCCCAGGACCCACCCTTATTTTGAGTTAAAAAAAATAAACGCAGAGGGGAGGAAAGCCAGCAGGTGTACACACATACACAAAACCGCCCCCCCTTCCCTCCCCCGTTAGGTCAAGGTCTGGATCCGCCACCGCGTACTGTATTGTATGCTTAAAATGAACCAATGTTCTCAAGCAAAATAAGTACTTACCCGAAGGAGGAGTACTTTCCACGGCCACTATTGGTTTGCTTGTCCACTTGTTCCTGATATTGAACGATGCAACTGTAAATGCGTAGTTAACAAACTCTTCTAAGCCAGCCACTATGTACATAGTGTCATTTCTTTCGTACACCAGGCGATTTTTCTCTTCGCTCTCCCCGCTGAGACGAACATAGAGCTTGTAATTTATTTTTCCATTTGGATTCAAAGCTTCGACCCAAGTAACTCTGATTGCTGTTGAGTTCACGCTCCTTGCTGTGACATTTCTTGGAGGTGAGGGTTCTGGAATTGATTTAATCGCATCACAATAAATAAGAAGCCAATCCAAACAGATCAAGACGTCAAGTTGTAAATTTTCGCCTAGAATTTTCGAATGGGTTGTTTGAAATCCTTGTCAATATTTCCCGTCCTTCTCTATTTTCTTCCTATTTTTCCTATTCCTATTTTCTTCCTATTCTCTATTTTCTTTTATTTCTTTACTGGCGTTCTCCACTCTCATTGGAACTTACTGCTTTCAAAAATCATTGAAATACGTTCGAGAATCTTTCGACAACACAATCTATAAAAAACCCCCAATCACTTCCCCAAAACTAATTTGAACTCGCCTTTAACATTTTTACATATAAAAAGTTGTTGAAATCCAAACTTCATCCAAAATTTATCCAATACTACAACCTTTATGTTGATAATTACTTAAGACTGAACTCACTATGATCACTCTCGTTATGATTCTTAGGCCAAAGTGTGTCCCTACACCGCAACAATATTGACTGGCACATGACAATGTTGCTCACGTTTGTTTCGTACGAGTAATATTTGACTTGCATTTCCAGCCCTAACTTAACTCTACTATTTAACTCCAAAGAGTGACTAGCATCTAAATTCTCCACACAACATCACAGCTAAATCACCCATTGAGGTCATGATTTAAAAGGAAATCACCGACGAAAGAAGCTCTTGACTGTTGTAAAAACTCTCCTTGTATGTACCGTAGTAAATGTATGAAGAACAGTTTGGGGTTGTTTATGCTAGTGTCAGGGTGTAAAGAGTACATGGAGAACGTCAGATAATAAGCTCGACACAAAAGGGCAATCGGCTACCCTGTTTCACGTTTCCTTGTGCCATATTCTTTAATCTCGATGCCCGATCATTGAGACCGAACTCCCGATATTCGATCTTCGGTGTTCGTTCGCGGATTTTCCAACCTCGAGTACGAAAAGAAAAAATTCGAAAATTTACCCGACTTTTAGCCCTGAAAATTACGTTTTTATACATTATACTCAGTAAAAGAACCTTACCTGCTTCCATGGTTATGTTTAAGGTAACCTTACTAAAAGGACCAACCCCTACGTCTGTAACAGCCTGCACTTTATATCTGTAAACTGTGTAAGGCCGTAGTTTAGTGAACGCAAATCTCGTTGCGTTGGTCATTGTGCTTACATTCCGTGCTTCTCCAAGAGAGATGCTTGTCATTTGAATGTTATAACTTATAATTTTCCCGTTTTGTTCTTCTTCTTTTGGAGGGAGCCATGAAAGAATGATGGACGAAGAGGAGTTGGTTTCTGCTTGCACGTCACGCGGGGGACCCGAAGGAGCTGAAAACAAGATTTGTAATGAGATACTTAATAAATATTCACCACTTTCACTGACACTGAGGTGAATGATTATTTCACTATATACCACACAGATACCAAAATCTTAGTTTAATTATTTCAATGTACCGAAAAATGGTCAGAAATTAAAATCTTGAAGAGGGATTTTGTCTCATCGGCTCTTCGTGGGTGAATAGTACCTGCTATTGACTTCTCAACTAGCCAATCAGCTCACGCAAAAAAACACTATTCACTTGTGTGGTATATAACAATTTCATTTATAATGTTACTGATAATGTAACATATTTAATATCCTCACAAATGTGTGGCAATTAAAGATCAATTGATGAGTGGATTGAAGTAAGTTCAACTAAAATCTGCTATACTCCACAAAAGGAAACAAAAACAAAAACAGTAAACAATCTAAAAATAAAGTGTCATCAGATCTTTACCACTAAACTTACCAGCCTGGTCTGTAGTTTCCATGGCAGATAACCCAGAACTTGACAAATTGTACTTCACATTGTATGCAGTCACAGTGAAAGTGTAATGTGTGTATGGCTTCAGATTGGAGAGTATAAACTGTGTGTGATTCCCACCATACACAAACTTAGCCAATGAACTGGGCTCTGTTGTCTCCTTAAATGAAAGCCTATATCCTATTTTTCCATTTGGCTTCTTTGGGTCTTTCCAAGAAACAAGGATTGCAGTTGAATTAAGAGTCTTGGTTGAGAGATTCTGAGGTGATGAAGGCTCTGGAAGAATAATAGAAATATGAGAAAAATTACCCTTTATTTTATACTCAAAAAAAATTATCTTGTTCCTGAATTCTCAACACCCACTCAACATTTCAGCTTGTATATCAATACACCACTCACACTCATAAACAACAGATTGCACCCTTGTTCATGTGATTTGCTGTATCCTTAAAAAATCAACAGTATTTCAGCATAGTCTGTACTCTTATCAACTGTCAATAAAAGTGTCAATAAAAACTGTCAATAAAAACTGTCAATAAAAACTGTCAATAAAACTATTCACTGTCAATAAAAGTACAGATCATGCTACATCAATGTGGATGTTTATAACAGAATATTGACAATAAAAAAAAAACAGTACGTGACAAGTTGCGTGACACATTGCATGACACGTTAATGTGAGAAGCATCATATGTACTCTAATTGACAAAGGCAAATTGGTCAATCAGACTGCATAATTACTGCCAATTGTGGTAAAAATATACAATGTATGTGACCTACATTTTTGACCCCCTGAAGGAGAAATTCCCCCCCATGTCCTAACTACTTTAATTTTTCACTCACCCCCTTCATATGTTTGTTTCATAACAGTGACACGTCTTCCTTCTCCTTTACTTGTGAATGCACTGATATTGATGACATAAAATGTAAACGGATTCAGAGGAGACAGCGTCACCCTAACACTTTTGCTCGGGCCAACAATTTGAGTGATTGACTTCCCTGAGAAATCCCTTTCAGAATACTTTATCTTGAGGAAAACAAAAGAAAGATGGTTAATTTTGAGCTCTGAATGTGGAGTAAGAGAGATTTAATTTATTTGTCAAAAAAGGAGACAAAGCAAAAAAAAACTGAAGGGCTTTCACCCCACACCATTGAATCTTGCATAACCAAAAAGCTTAGGTCAAAATTATTATCAATCCAACACTAGCTCAGAACCTCTAGGAAAAAACCTACACTAGCTCAGAACCTCTAGGAAAAGATTGCTGTAATGTGTTAATGAAGTCAAAATGAAACTAAAACATAATCTAAACACAAGCATTTTGAGCGTTGGTGAGCATATTAAATGTGGTATGTGTTGGGATATATCTTCCCTCTCCATCTCTTATGTTTTGTCAGTGTAAGGGCAGCAGATTTTCCTAGATCTATTTCACCCATAATAACACTCAGTACAATTGTAGAGGCTTAAAACTGCCATTGTTTTCCAGTTGAAGAAATGGTTAAAAGTATTTCAGATACTCTTTGACTTCCAAGAACAAACATGTACATGTAGACTGCAGTGAATGATTATAGATTAAATCAAGCCACACCTGATATTTCAGAAGCACACCATTCTTTTCTGCTGGTTCACTCCAATTCAGATATATTGCAGTGGAATTCAGAACCCTTGCCACAACCTGGCGTGGCTGACTTGGAACTAAACAAACAAACAAACAAACAAATCATCAATAATTTTCAAATAACAACATTTGACCATATAAATGTATCACTGGTCGAGATGTCCAGCTTTCAGACCTGGTAAGGTCATTGTTTTGTGTTCTTGGGAAAAACACTTTTCTCTCCTAGTGCCTCTCTCTCCACCCAGGGGTATCCATGCATACCAGTGAATTGTCAGGGAAGTCCTAAAAAATGCTGGGGGGGGTAATCTTGCAGTGAACTAGCATCCTAGCCAGGGGGGAGTAGTAACACTCCTAGTTGCATGATGTTGAGGAAACTAGTGCAAGCTCCAGTTCAATGGGCCACTTCAGTTGAGAAGAGATAGCAGTCATTCATGTACAGTAACTTTACCTGCTTCATCAGTCACCACCAATGTGCTCTCTGAGCTGTAATTGCTTCTTCCAAACTGGCTCCTTGCCACTACTCTAAAAATGTACTTTGTATAAGGTTTGAGGAGCAGAATGACAGCTTGTGTCTGATTCACAACACAAGCACCTTGCACCAAAGAATGGTTACAAGTTGGTTGCTTCCAAGACAAAAGTTCCTCACTGAATTCAACTGAATAGTTGGTAGCAATAGGCTGATTTGAAGTCGTGTTCCACTTGACAAGTACACTTGTAGCTGATAACACAGTGGTGTCCCGAATGATTGGAGGATCTAGTGCACCTGGCAGAAGGAGAGTTTATCATAGATCAAGCAAAGTACAGTGTAATAACTGTAAATTAATTTAACAGAATCAAGTTTTCAGGCTAGAAGAACTGAGAGAAAGAAGTGAAAGTAAGGAGGCAAGATCTGGCTGCAGGGTGGATAACAGTATTTCCTACGTTAATCTTCATCTGGTGCATTACAAAGTATGTTTTGTTCACACTCTTCCACTAGATAGCAGTTTATCCATTGGGTAGCATGATCTGCCCTTTGAACATCTGGCTCCTGAATTATTTTGCTTTAAATTAAAACATGGCATAAGTGATGACCCAATTTATCGTCAAGGTGAAATGAAGCAGTTTTTTTAACCTCCATCAACAAACCTATTGCCAAACAAAAGCATCATTGACCGAATCGAAGTATAGCGTCGAATTTGAATTGCCATTGTTCTGGACTTACTAGCCTCTCACACATGTGATAATCCTTTTGTGTTTTCCAGGTGAAGACGAGGCTAGTAAGTCTAAAACAATGGTAATTCAAATTGGACGCCATATTTCAATTCGGTCAATGGCCAACTAAATTATGAAAAATAGAATAAAATCCTTTTACACTTCATTAGAAATTACAAGGCTGTGCTCTAAGGAAAATTGAATGGAGCCCAGTGCTTTGAAACCGTGAAATCTAGGGTGCCCAGCCTATGCTTTGTATGAAAAAACTAAAATTCCTGAGTCACCCAAGAGCAAAAGTAAAGCACCAGAGGCCACCAGGCACTGCTAGACCACTGTCTTGAATTACATTTACAGTGTAGTAAATTTTAGCAATTGCCAACCACAAAAAATCGTCCAAACAAAACACAAGAAATGGCCGGTCAGCAGATTAAAAAATTCCCCCAAACTTTTCATGCTATTATATTTATTGCAGTCTAGAATATAACAATTAATGTCAACAACAGAGTTGCAGTAGAAAAAAAATTCTACCAAACTTTTCACGCTACACATTAATTACGGTCTAGAGTATAAATAACAATTAATGTCAAAAACAGAGTTGCAGTAGGACATACCTGGTGGGAAAGAAGTTGTAGGTAAAGGAATTATCACACTCTAACTGAGAGACAGAGACATCTGGATGTTGAGTGAACTTGCAGGCACAGGGTCAATTGATGGTGTTTGTGAGGGCTTGATTCCAGAAGTCTGTGTTAATGGAATTACCATGCTTGCCTGTGCCGAACCTGTCAGTATAACACCTTTTGACGTGCTAGTGGGTGCAAGGTTTGTTGTTAATGATGGAGACTTTCCAACATCGATTCCACTTGTAGCAACTTGGGTCTGAATGGAACCTTGTGCAATATATTTGGAGGTTGTGGTGTTGATCGAGCCAGAAAATTTTGTAGATACGGCCGCCATTAAAGGACCAGAAGTTGTTGATACCACAAACGGCAGATGTTCCTCTTCAGAAGCCTGGTTTGCATAGACTAAAATTCAAAGATTCATAATCAGTATGGTCGACTCTGATCTCTTAGTGCAAGTATCAAGTGTCAAATTACCATCTAAAGGTACAGTACAGGGCAATAAACATCTGCTTGTTACATACTTGTACACATTACAAGTAGATCACAGATACAATTTTAAAAAAATATAGAGCTGAAGTTTGAAGTCTTAAATCATTAAACACAACTTCAATCTAAATAACGAATCTCTTTAGTGTCAGCCATACTTCTCTATGAGCAACTTGGGCACTGAGAATTTAATGTTAAGACAAACAATATCTCTAGGTTTATGTTTTTGTTTCTTCTCATCACGCTTCTGCTCAAAATTAAATGTATTCTTATTGAAAAGAGAAATTCCTTTTGGCTGCTTCTGAGAGTAAAGGCTCAAAAATTTCAAAATTTTACTAATGTATTTTACATGCACTGCATAAACAACTGCTAGTACATGATTGCAGCCAAGATGGAGGTATACTGCCTAAACCCCAGATTCAATTGGGTTACAGGGATGGCCCAGTGGTGATAGCACTTGCCTCCCACCTCTGTAGCCCAAGTTCAATTCCCAGACCTGGTGTCACATGTGGGTTGAGTTTGTTGCTGGTTATCGTCCTTGTTCCGAGAGTTTTTCTCTGGGTCCTCCTATTTTACTCCCTCTGCAAAAACCAACATTTTGAATTCCAATTCCATCTGGAAACAATGGACAAGAAGAGCCACCCAGCATGCAATGTCCATTTCTAAATTCCTTATTTTCATTTTGATTTTTATCTATTCCTCCATCTTCCAACTCTTGTGCCTGATTCCCACACCTAAAGATCTGCTATACCTGCTCACCAGTCTCTAACAATCGACAAAATCACTTGTTCTATTCTGCATCTTTTCCATATATTTTCCAAATACATGTTCATGAAGAAAAAGCTCAAGCAAGCCAGAGAATAAGAAATCCTTTGTAAATAAATTCTGAAGCCTTTTCCCAAACATCTGATTATAGAAAGAAAAGCACTGGAAGAGAGATGCATCCAAATTTTTTTTCAGATGTTGTCTGGAATTTCTTTTTTGACACAGGAGGTTTTGTAGTTAAAGAAAATTATAGTTCAGTTATGGAATTGTATGGTTTATAAATTGCCTAATTGGTTATATTCTGTGCTTGGGTTATTCTGGTTTATTGTGAGACACAAAGGCTTTCTGATGTCGTCTGAGATGAAACATGTTGAGGTTTCCAGAATGCTGAAAATATAGTATTTTGTTAATGGTTTCCAGTGGTCTGATTCTCACACTTTAAGTGATCAAATATGTGGACACCTTGCAATCTTTTCTTAATCATTTTAACAAAGCAATAAGTATGTTGAAGCTTTCAGCTTTGGTTCCCTTTTTAATGGAACTGAAGGACTATAATTTCAATTTCATTTCACATTCATAACATGTACAATACAGATAGGTCATGATCAAAAAACAACCACGCAAACAGACAAAAAAAAAACAAACTAATAAAAATGAAAATAATAATCAAAGGAATATAGCCTTTGGAAGAATTAATTGGCTTGAACCAAACACAAGCCTAAAAAACCTTTTGATGCTTGAGATGACTGGAAATACGAAAAATTAAAAATTAAAAATCAAATAAAATGCCCTTTAATGTCTGACCCCGTTTTTTTTAGCCAAGTCATGTGATGACCCATGCCGATAAGAACAACAAAGTGAAACGTCTTCCGTCTTTTCCTGCAGATCACAATGACGGGCAAAATTCACGAGTATAAAAATACACTACACAAAAATTGTAATATTGTTCCATACAAATTATACTGGTTTTGCTTCTGTTCTTATCTCCACTGTGACATTTATAAAAAATTTAAAATCAATTAATTTGTCAAAATTACAATAGTGACTGTCGTTTCCCAGACGAGGTGGTTCAAAATGGTAATTAAGTCATTGAACGAGAACGAAATAAATTCCATGTGCGAAAGGCAGATCGGGCTAAACTTCGTTCAATCTTTAACATCAAAATTGCAGAAAGCGAATCCAAGAGTTCATTTCATTCGTTTGATGGAACACGAAACGTGATAAAGTTACACACTCCCATGGCTCTGATTGTTGTGAGCTTGTATTTCATACATTTGCATGCTCGCAAATGCCTTTGTACCAAACAACCCGGTTTATTCAAAGACATAATTTGGATATATCAACAAAGTTGAAATGGTAAATTGACCACTGTAACGATTACAAAAGCTATTTCGTTATTCCCACCGACGCAGCCCCAAACAGTTTCTTGCGAAACTATCAGCCTTTATTCAAAGACAGACAATCACATCCCTATTTAAAATGGATGCGTATAATCCTAATTATCTGTTCAATCTGGTTTTACTTAAAGAAGATGTAAAAAGTTTCGCCCCTTTTCCAATCTTTCATCAACAGCTCAAGTGCTTTGGCAAACGGAAGGCTAGTAATATTGACAAAATCAGCTGCGAAAGAGTCACCTCTACGACTTTCGTTACCCAAACAAAACGACATTACAAAGATAACATTCGGGCACTTTCCTCGATGGCTAACGAAGCCCATCGGCCAAACAGGGGCGCGAATAACATAAACTTACCCAAACCTAATTCGCGACTTACCAAGACATGACATTCTCACGAGCGCGTAGATGAGGACCAAAGTACAATCCATGTTGCCTGTCTTCAGATACCTTCTTTTGACTAGATTTGTATCAAACCAGCTAAATTTAAGTTGCAGCGGACTTTGCTTCTATCAACCAGTGCCTCTTCTGTCCATTTTCATCGACCTCGAAGGTTTTCAGCGCCCTTTAAAGCACACATATTAGGAATAAATCTGATCGCTAAAGCGCGACTGCACAGACATATATGAACCACAGGAAGTGGGCACCATTCCCCTCTGCAAACACTTCATGCGTACTTCCGGTGAATTGTTCCTGAATTCTTTCACTTTCATTCACTTTCATGTAATTTCTTTAGTTAATGGCTGATAATCCGTATTCGGAGTCAGTGAAAGAAATTCAAGAGCGGAAACACACACGCAAAATATGGTGTAGAAAACTTATATAAATAGTAATTTTTGGTGTTTCGTGACAAAAGGCGGGCATATAAAGGGCTTCAAAACCGCTCAAGCGCTCATGGAAATATAATGAGTCATTCGACCTCGTAGAAATGGCGCCATCCAATTATATACAAAGAAAAATTAGAAATAAATCATTTTCTTTACTTCAAAGACAGACACATTTCGAATAATTCAACTTCATGCTCTTCGGTAGGATCGGGGTGTGAAGTGAATCAGTGAAGGACAGGTGTGGTGACAAACATGAACCTGAGCGCGTCACTTTGTAGTATTAATAATTTCCTCTGGTGCTCGAGCGAACATTATCGATTTTTTTCTTCTCGATTAGCTGAAAGTGTATCCATGTAGAAGATCCGAAGGGTTAAGACCGGCCCCCTACCTAGCCCCCATTCAGAAGTACGGGTATTTGTGCTACTCGTCTGAAATGTCAATAATAATTCTTTCTAAAACAGAATCACATATTACTATTCAACCTGCAGTATTAAAAATTCACTTATCTTGAAAATATTGCCAGATTATTTGGCTCTAGGGTAAAAAAAAGATATGTGATCACTGAATCTCTGTTAGGAACCCCTAGCAAAAATTCCCGGACAACCCCGGGGATCCCCTTTGCCTTCTTCCTTTCTCTTCCCCCATCTCCCCATTTCCTGGTCCTTGTTTTCTTACCTGAAATCTTTTTTATTCTTATCTTTTTTTTTTAAGCCCCTTTCAAACACATACGAGTTTGAAAGCTATTCAGTGTATGCATACACACGCTTTTGATCTTCATCGCCATCTACTCTTCGCCGTGGGCCTCTCCTCTCTTCTCCCAAAACGTGAGTCAGTCGAGTTGTTATGGCGCGTTTTCGCGCGACATACCTAGAGTGGGCTTTTTGTGTTCTTCTCACCTCACGAGCAGCGATTAAAAGCAATTAAAAACTTTTCGGCAGTCTATATTTGCCTTATTTTAGAATTTTTCTCTGTCAGCACATTAGGACATGTACAGAGAACAACATGGTGGGTGTGTATACTGATGTAAGGGTGTAAATGGGCCAAGATCCTGAGTATTTGTCTGGTCTAGGACTTGAACACCCGCCCCCCCCCCTCTCCCCTCCCCTCTTTCAGGGACTCCAGCACAGCACGATCCGAATGACTCTCAAGTGAGTTGACCGCTCTCCAATCGCTTGAACCGATACAAATTGATTTTCCCTGCCCTCTAACTAGCTTATTAAACTGAAACAAAACTATTATACAAGAGAGACATAAAACCAGACTTTCTGCTAAAATGTACCGAGAACCTTCAATAAGTCTTACTATTTGAGCGAATCAGTGCTTTAGAGAAAACCTAACTACGAGAACATCTGCGCATGCCATGCGCTCCCCTTAGGAGAATTCACGGAGTATCTAACCGTGCTGCGCTTTTTTCACTATCATTCTTTGACTTGATGGAGTATGTCACTTTGGAGCCAAGAAATGATGTTTTAAGTGCAAACATGGCACTTGCCAACCTTCCGCGGGTTTTCATAACGTACATATTTCGCAAGTGAAAGTAAACACAGGCTGACAAAAGCGACGTCAAAATGCTTTTTCTTTTGACCTGAGTCTTAAATAAACAACGCTTTAGACAAGCTTTTAAAAATGCGTGACGATCAACGAATCCTTATAAGCCATGAAAAAAAAAAACTTTAAGAGTCTTGGACAAAATGTGACAGGTCGTAATTCTATTCGAGTCTTGCACTGTATTTAGATGTTCATTCTCCGTGGCCTAAGTCGACCTGGAGTCCAACATACGAGGGATGGAGTCATTTGAGGGCAAAGCGATTAAGACAAAAGGACGCCGCTATTTGCGTTCTTTCTGCGACAGCAATAGCAGTAGTTTATTTAGGTGTGGGATAACTCATCATCTGTTGGCCTGTATGCAAATCAACTCATGGTGAAACGGGGAATATGATAAAGTCAACACGCTATTTGATTTAGTTTTAAAGAGCTGTGTGTTAATTGTTTTAAGAAGTTACTATCTGGGTGTTTTAAATGCCGCTGCAGATCCAAACAGTTTTAGTCCTCAGTTGCTAAGATATTTGGAAAATCTGCTTCTTTGCTGTCCAAGTGTAAAAACCAGCTCGAACGAAGCTTAAATCATCCCAAATAATATTGTTCCGACTAACCTCGACGCTTTCAACACCGAAGAGCTTGCATGAGTAAGGTAACTAAGTTCAATTGGCATTCATTCATTAACTTTCCCCGAAGGAACATAGTTTTAAGATTCCTATGGATCTGTAGTAGTTTATTTCCTCAGTGCAATATTTTGCTGTGTACGTAAGCTGGACCAGAGAACTACATGACTTACAAAGCAACACTGTCGAAGTGTCAGGCGAAGATTTCGTAGAACTTCACGACTCGAAGAAGCCAACAGTTGTATTGGATAAGTGTTGGGTCCTAGTGAGAGCCCTTGAATGCTTTCGTAATAGTAACAAGTTGAGTTATTCAATCAGTTTCATCGATCAACAATCACGGCGCTACAACAGTAAGAAAATCTTGTCATGGAAACATGCGTGAAGATTGAAGCAAGAAGAAAAAGAGGCAACGGCTTACAGTCCTAGCCTAATCATATTGGACTTTGCAACGATAGATCGTTAGCCAACTAGGGTGAGCTTTGATAATTCGAGTGAAGCAACTTTATAAAAGTCAGAGATGATTCTTCTTATTCGGGTTCAGTTTATTTTGCAAGTTGATGAGATTACGAATCTCCAACTCTCCTTGAACACTTTCGTATTTATTCAAAAATAATATGCATGCATTTATTGTACATATTTAAAGTGGCATCTCAGGCTAAATTAATTACGAGTTAATCTATGAGGGACCTAACTGAAGTTGATTCAACTTAACTTCACTTAACTTAACGCTGCACCTTATCTGACGTAATTCAAGAAAACAGATAGAACCTTTGATTCACGAAAAGAAAATTAGTCCTGGAAAAAGTTTATATTTCACCGTAGAGTCTGCTCTACTGATTGAGCTCGATTAAGGCATCTAGTAAAACTTCCTGATCACTTTTCAACTGTCTGGAGTTTTGAAGTGTAAATTGTAAATGGTCAATACCTATTGTAAGTTTTTTTCTTCTTTTTTCCTCTATCAGTCTGACAAAGTGGTTTTACTATATTAGGTTTAAACAGAAAGCGTGTTACTTTTGAATGTCATCAAGATTCGGGATCGAAAACCTGTTGTGTGCATTGTGCTTGGCGAGGTCAGTGAACCAGCATCTAACACCATAGAACTTAGCCGAAACACGTACAGTATATGCACTTATTCATCGCCTGAGATCATTGAAGGCCCAAATTAAAGAAGAAAATGGTTGTGGATGTAAAATTCAGATTCCCATGAAGTGTTTTATCTCCTTCTCATTAATAAATACTTATAACTCACAGCTGAAAGCGGACGTTTAAGCTGACAGATTTACGTTTTCTAGTTTAAATTATCAGTACTTTGTTTCTTGATTAAACAAAAACACAAACATGTTTGCAAGGTTTTAAACTGATCCCTCAGAATTTCATCAAGGGCGCCTACACCATGGCTGTAAAAATTGAGGCGGGCTTTTAAAAAAAAAAAGATCATGTTAGGTTGATCCTGGGTGGTGTGAATGGTGAGAGAAAGTTATCCTCATTAATTGCGTTCTTAAAAGCCTACTTTTACACTAAGTTTAAACAAAGTGCTTAACTTAGCATAATGTTCGCTTGTATGCGACGGTTTTCTATTTTGAGTTTTATAGAAAAAACAAACAAACAAAGGCGCTCGCATCAGCTAATCAGAACGAACGAAAATATCCCAAAAAGCTAATGACAACTTGAATTAAAGACAAGCAAGCTGCCACTGGCGTAGGAAATGTACATGTGGGTTACCCTTTTATTACTGGTTTTTAGTTTTTCATCTAATTTTTTGGACTCGAGTTTTCTGGACCAATAACAGGGCGAAGTAAGGCAAACTGAAATGCAACACTCGATAGCTCTCGACACTTAGTGGTGGTGACCGCCTTTCCAACAATACGATCCAACCTTGCAACCTTGTTGGTGGACTTTTATTTCAGTGAAAATCATCGTAACACATCAAAAGTTATTTGTTTTTGCTTGTCTTTCCATTTGTATATAGTATTTACCGCATGCATGGCAAACGCTATACTATACTGCTATATAGAACTGGGTCGTGGAGGTTACCGATTCTCTGGTCCGGCGATTTAATATTGCTTATTATAAACTCTTAATTATCTAACTTGATGATCTGATTGTTTTATAGTGAGTTTCCATGGAAAAAAATTTGTTTGCTGACGTCATGGAATGAGAAAAGCTGATATCAGTTGCAGTAGAATGTTTAAGATATCCGCGTGTGCAAGACACGACGCTATTGGCTCAGAATTGTAAGAATAGCGAAGTTGTTAATGAGAATGAGGAGAGCAATCATCCTCCCAATGCTGGTTCTCTTTGGATCGTGTCTCTATGTGGGAACATTTCTTTATCTCATTATCATCGACGAGTTTCAAGGTATGCTACGTTAACGTCTTTGTTTAGTTTTGCTTTGCGCGTTCTTTGTGAGACAATTCCTTGTGCGGTGGCATTCACCGTCTTTGATTGAAGTGCGTCAGATGCGAAATTCGTCCCTTTGTCATAAACGCGTATGGTGACCAATCGTTTGGAGGAAATTATTTCCTGCTTTGAAATAGCTGCCGAGCAGGCACTCATCATTTGCGCTTCAGCCCGAGTGTTTATTCGCCGGTGGTAAAGTATGAGGCCAAATCTTCCCGTTAGCGGAAAAACCTACGTCGTCCAGCGCTACTAACTGAGGACCTGCTCGCAGGCTAGCTTTGAAATGAACTCAAGACCAATGTCTTGCTCATAATAATCAGGAAAATAATAGCTACAATAATAATGATAATATTAATGATAATACTACAACTGATAATAATAGTAACAATGATATTATGACTTTTAATCAATTAATTGATAGAAACGCTTTACCACTGAGCCTAAATTCATACCAAGACACTCGTAACGAACAAGATAGAGAGACCTGTCCTCAAAGGGCAAGTGTATGTATGTCTACTCCTTGTTCATAATAGTTGACGCAATATTCTACAGTCCAGCTTATTATACTCCCATTCCCTTCCGTTTTGACAACTGGAAACTGGGAAAGCGAGATAAATGAAGTTAAACTGAATTTGTGGGAGGGAAGTTCGAGCCACCTTGCACAAGGTAATTTGGTAATATCAACTAAGTTAAAATTCTAAATTAGCCACCGTAAAGAGTTAAAAAGCTGACGTTTCGAGCGTTAGCCCTTCGTCAGAGCGCTCTGACGAAGGGCTAACGATCGAAACGTCAGCTTTTTAACTCTTTACGATGGCCAATTTATAATTTCAATTTAGTTGATATTACCAAATTATCTTGTTACCCCCACCGACGCAGCACCACAGTTTCTTTAGAAACTCACCCCCTTTATTCATCCACCTTACACAAGGTGCCTACCGGCTTAAGGATGTTGTGATATCAACACTAGTGTAACAAAAGAAAGTTTTCTACTTTTTTCAGCGCTAGTATAAGATGAATAGCCCTTACTTACGTTTTCACCTCATGATATTATGTTAGTCATACTACATGTATATTGGGGTATGGAATGAAAATTCACTCACTCGCTCAATTCTTTAATCTGTTCGACAATTAATTTGTTTTGTCCTTGATTTATAGATATGGTTGTGCTCGAAAGCCGAGGAAAAGAGTTTGTTTTCCCTCCTTCGACCTTAAACAATGATAGACGTAAGGCTCTTGCTAACATCGAGTTGACAGGAAATTTTGCGAATCAGAGAGAACTGGTGAGAAACGTGGACGGTCCTGATGTCATTCCAGAACGAACCGCATCTCAGAGAAGTAATAGGTCAGAACAAGTACACCAGCGGAAAAAAGCACGCAGAGAATTACCTATAAAGTTGATAGAAAGAAAAGCAAGTTTTCGAGTGAAAACCAACCTGCCTTCTGCGAGTGAAAGTGAAAAAAAGAGGAACATAGAGGAGTTAATACACTATGTAAGCAATGACAAGTACTTTCCAGTTGATTCAGTTTGCCCTTATTTAGGATTAAGTAAGGAATCTTATATTCAATTTAAAGACAGTACCGTCAGGAATAAACATTGCGTTCAACGACAGCCATCCTTGGATGAGTGCCAAAAGGCAGGGGGAGAATATAAAATAGAAAGTCTTCCCATTACCAGATGCAAGGAGCAAACTGAGAAAAACCTTTGTACTATAAGTGATAAATGGCGCTCAGATCGAAGTGTCAAAGTTAAGGTACGCTGTGATGTTCGAAGATGCGGAAGGAATCCTATCTATGCTATGAACCTGAACCCTAACACTGGACAACTTGAAGACGAACATCTCTGGCACAAATTTGTTTCCAAAGCAGATATCGAAGCAAATCTTTCTTCGGTTGTTATTCAAAATTCCAAAAATGGCATTAATTTTTGTATCGTTCAATGTTTCAAAAACAACACATCTCAGGTGATCAGAACAATTCTGAGTTTCCCTCCTGTTCTTGCTGGAACAAACTCAAAACATCACAAACCACGGCCTGCAGTCTTAAATATGAACATGGTCGTTCTGAGTTCTACGTCTCGACCTCATTTCTATCGATCATTACCCGAATCTGTCGCCACACTACGGAACATTGTTTATGACAATTCAAAAACAGCATCCGCCCTAGATTTCGAACTTCTACAGAGTCTGACATCAGACTCGGCGCAAAATCTTCAAGCTCTTCTCTCAGGGAAAACTTACGGAGAAACTCGTGTCCAAGGACCAACTCTGTTTTCTACATTGAAAAAGCTAGGATATCAAAATATATTCCAAACTGACCAATGCTGGTTTGGGGTTGATTATAAAAATCTGGGAAAAAGCTTTAACATGGAATGGAACCACTGTGACGCTGGAATGACCCATGTAGCTTGCCAAGCGACAGAAGTGTACAGAGTCAGCGATAAACTCGATGGAAATCACACGACGTCGGCTTCTTGTTTGAACGGTCGTTATGTTTTCGACTATATCTTCGATTTCATAGACAAATTTCAGCTTGCGTTACGAGTTACTAAGACAAAATCACCGGTCTTCTCTTACACTTATCTAACCTTAACGAAAGACGAGTTAGGGGTCAGCATACGGCAACTGGACAAGCGGCTGTCGATGTTTCTACAGACCATGGCGCATGAAGAAAATACTCTGACCATAGTTACGTCGGATCAAGGCCCAACAGCAACTAAGTATTCAATGGACACCATTAGTGGAAGATATGAGATGTATGACCCCCTTCTTTTTATGATTATACCCAAGCAAATATCTCTGAAACTTGGAAAACAACAAATGGAAACTTTGATTCAGAACCAACATCGGTTAATATCTCACATTGATCTTCACAATACCATTGTTTCGATCGGTAATTTGGGAGGAAATCAGCGCGGGCACAGTAAGGGACTTTTAGCAGAAATTGCCATCAATCGAACATGCGCAGATATTGGTATCAGTGAAGAAGCCTTGTGCAAGTGTCGCGGTTGGGAAGAATGGTTCCCGGATGATGACCCAAGATTCACCTGGATCGCAGAGTTTGCTCTCGGGGAACTAAACAACATACTTCAAGATGTGATGCAAAATTTCTATTTGTTAAATAAAGCACATATCAAATGCCAGAGACTAATCGGTTACGCCATTGAAAAGATTCACCAAAGAAAGGACAAACGTGTTCTTTCTCTAGATTTAGTCACACATCCTGGAAGAAAGTTGTTTGAAACCAACATTTACCTTCCAATAAGCTTTTCTTTAGAGGCCGGCAACACAAACTCTCTGTTCCAGGGAAGTGGAGAGTTAGTAAAAGTACTTGGCTTTCGAAGAGGAGATCTTCAACTTGACCTTACACCTACTGCAAAGAGCGGTCCAGCGATTAATCTATGTTTGAAAGGTTTTCACTTTTCGAACAACATGACGCGAACGAAAAGATATTCTGGTGCGACAGATGTAAAATATGACGGGAACATGCTACAAATGGCACATCGTTCCAAACACTTCGGTACTCATTCACGAATTCGAGTACTTGACTGGCGAGAGAAATGTCTCTTTCTTTTAACCAGAACGCATTTTAATCAAACAGTTGCGTTAGAAGTTTTAAACACCTGTGTTGACCGGACTTTCCTGGTTAAAGTTGACATATCGAATCAGAAGGAACATGTGCATCTAACGAAAAAGCTTCCAGTGCTAGTTCAACTAGCTCCGGGGACCTTTCGATTTTTATTCTGTGCTTATATGAGAGACAAGACCATAATTCTTCAACCAAAAATTTCCTTTAAAGTTGTCAAAGTCAATGTTTAAGGCAAGAAAGTGTTTAGTGGACTGGACTAAAACGTGGTCGTTTTTACACAGAAACAATTCTTAAGGATAATTGTAGTTCTTTTACTATTGAGTCATTCAAACTTGATTTTACTGGATAAAGGGAATAAGTTTGGTGCAACGTCGGTGGACGGTATTACAAGATAATTTGGTTTATCAACGCAGCTGATAATGTAAACTGTCCACTGCATAAAGTTTCCAAAGCAGACGTTTCGAGCCTTAGCCCATGCATCTTCAAAGCGACGAACGACTACCACTCACCGAAAAACCCCCTTTAAGGAGTGCCAATAAAGTTTGTACTGTATTGTACACTCGAAAGGTCACTCTTTCCGGCGGCCAATTTACCGTGATTATCGGTTCTTTTGGCAAAACCATTTTCTCTTGGTATGCTTCCTTGTCTTTTTTCTGGCTTTTCTTTTCGTGCCCGTCACTTTGATCAATCAAGTAAATGGTATGACCCTTGTTTCTGATGACGACTTCTACTCATCTTGTCCAAACGTCGGTCCTGGCACTCGGCTGGTACCGAAAATAATGTAATTTCGGTGTTATCAGCAGAGTTTATAAAGTAAATTGGCCACCTTAAAGAGCTTTGAAACTCTTTACGGTAGCCAATTTACATTAGGGACTAAGCAAACCACGACGGCTACGGCAACGAGAACGTGGAAAAACAATAGATCTAATTGACAGAACAATAGCCCAGCACGTGCGTTTAAAACTTTGTACATTTCTTAGCCGTCCTTTGCAAAACAACAACGTGAAATCACCAAAATTTGCGTCGTCTGCGAAGCGAAACCGCGGCGGCAAATTATTTTAATTTACATTTGGAACTCAACGCTACTTTTATGTGTTATGTTGAGTTTGAGGTCTGGCGCCCTATGAGACGGTAAAAACATGCAGCCATTTTCGAAATTCTAACTAAATGTAGAAACTCGTTTTTTAATCAACGTTTTCCGTGGCGCTGCCGTTCTGACTGCTTAAAGTCCCTATTATCATCAAATTACCTTGTTACCCCCGCCGACGCAGCACCACAGTTTCTTCAGAAACTTTCCCCCCTTATTACTACCGACAACAGTCCCTTTTTGGATTACCATCCGGGCATTCGGGAAATTTTACTTATCGATCATTAACCTTGATCGACAGTCAGTTTAACCGCCAAGAAAGTGACTGGTATTTAAATTTCAGAGGCCAAACACATTAAATTGAAGTCAGCACCAAGAAACAGATACAAAAGTTCTCCGTCATTTACGTTACCAAATACGCATATTATTTGACGTATATGCAAGAGGTCTATTTGGAGCCCGAAGTGTTTTCGGTACCCCATTAATTTAAAAAAGGCGGTTTATTGATCCGTTTCACCTTAATCAAGATAAGCATCGACAAGTTGTTATTCGTTCTGAGTGACGTGAAGAAGCTTTTTTATTTCACAAACATTGTTGAAAAGGTATTAACTTGAGCGTTTGCTTTCGGAGCCAGTCCGGGTTTATTTTCAAGTATTGTAAATCCCAACTGTCCAGCAAGAAAGCATTGGATCAAGAGATATTTTCATCACCTTAAACCAACAGGACTACTGAACGAGTGTGAACAAAGTTACCTTGAGAAAATTGTCCTATTAAGCAAAGTAGTACAACATTGTTCCGATTTACATAAATCAATGAATTATAAATATCAACAAATTGTGATTCCTTTCTCCGAATACTAAACAAGATGAAGTTTTGGAATGGTACCCGCTTTAAACCTGTTAATTCAATTGTTAAAAGAAATACGAACCCTGCTTAAGGATCTGGCAGGTAATAAAACTTCGGAAAGCACAATATTTTCCTTTACGAAAATTGAAAACATCTGATATTAGCTTTTTGTAAGCTTCGTGTGAAGTAATAAAATCCTAGTGTTCAAGACGTTCGGATTAAGTAATGAAGTGTAGCACAGCACTGGCTCTAAAGAAAATTTCAATTTTGCTGGAGTAATAGTGATTTGAAAAGATTCTGGCCAGGGCAAGCGAGGTTGCACGAGATGTCTGTTCTTGGTCTACGAAGCAGAAAGGTACGTCCTATTTTGGGAGCTGATTTGTAACTTTAGATTTGGTTTCAGTGATAATGAACAATATTTAACGTTCTTTATGCTGGAATAACTCGGTTAGCAACATGTATAACGATAAGGACTGGAAAGGCGCACTGAAAAATGTTTTCATATAATTCAATACATTTCAAAGACATTTCTCTTTGATTCAAAGAAACTGAATTTCATATAGAAACGCTCAAAGTATTTGGTCGTTTCCACAAGCATGTCATACTACAACAGAAGGAATATTCCAGCAAGAAGGGGCAATTTTCAAGGCTCTCTGCAACGAAAGCGAAGGCGACCATTGTGTTCTTTGTAGACATGGATTTATTCCTCTGGTTCTTCTTCATCGTTTAAATGTTCTGAAAAACAGCTGCACAAATTTTCGTCAGTCATTTCGTACTTTTGTCCAAAGAAATGAAGCTGTTAGATTTTGGGCTTTATTTGAATGAGCCTAAATTCTCTTTGACATTCCTTGTCATGGAACAATGATTATATGTAAAAACACCAGTCCATTTTGGCGATGGTTTTTTGAGTGCATCAAATACGACGCCTTGCTTTCTGACTGTCAAGAGATGTAGAGGATTATCTATCCTGTCATTAAAACTGAAGTATTCTATCTATATTATCATGCAAAACACCCTCCTTATCCCCAAACCTAATGTTCAAACGATCAATCGTATAAAAACAAAGCAGAACGGTCATGAACGAATACGTCGATCGGAACGCCGACCGCTGGTCGAGATTACCACGATCGCGTCGACCAAGATCGGGACACTACGATCAAGTCGATCACGATGACGATGACCACGATCGCGACAACGACGACTGTGATACCCACGATCGGCACGAACACGTTCAGAGTGGCCATTATTGCCACAATCACGTTCGCCACGATCACAAGTATGTCTCGAAAATCGCGAAAAAGTTCCTGAAACGTCATACAGCTTTACAAGATTTAGACGTCATCTGATAAAGAGCATAAACAACGTAAACAAACAAAAATGGCTTGACATTGCAGAAGTTGACGATTTCGTAGCTTAAGTCGGACAAAGGAATGCTAAAATTAAACATTTTGCTTTCATTTCCTAAGCAAGGGATCTTTCGAATCCGGCAAACAGGTGTGTTTAAACTTACAAATCTTGACTTTTCCACGTTCGACGCTACCTAATGCACAAAACATGCTATCTTCAATTCAAATAAAAAAATTGCATCCCTATTACAAATTAACTAAGCCTCCTGACTTACCACATGCCCACTGAAAGTCTACTTGAATCAAACCAAGTGACTAGCTGACTACTTTGGGTCACCTGACGAAATTTAATGTCAGACCACATGCGTAACAACTGGCCTAAGTGACCTCAATGGTTTGGTCTTCGTGGCCGCATGACCATCTACTACTTCACTGAAAAAACCCATCTACCAACAGACAAACCACCAAGCAATAGGTACATTGATGGATCTTAACTGATCAGACAGATGGATGAATCCAGATCAGATTCCAGTACCTTATGTGTAGTGACGTACAAACAGAAATGAACGGATAGGCTGAACGGACACGCCAACGAACGGATAGAAGAACAAATAGACCTTCTTTATAGAAAACAGAGATACTTTACAACCAGACATGGTATGATAGCGGAATGAGTAAGTAAGAGAGGCTATTCTTGAGTAGGTCTTAATTGAGCGATCAAGTCCATAGTCCGAGTTCATAAGTATGTTTTTTACATTCTGACAAATTTCTTTTTCCCAACAGGCCTTCTTTCTTCTTGTTGCTGCTGTGGCCTTAGGACTTTATTTTTGGACCACAAGAACACAAATGAGGCACTTTGCTTTATTTGCATCAGACATCGAGCGTACCATTATGAAAGGTAACTGAAGGAAAATTCAGAATTTGGTGAATAGCGCCTCGTTCAGAATCAAACAAAACAATAAATGGAAACAATTGGAAAAATACACGAATAAACCAATGTAAATCGCAAGAATTTCACTTCAAAACACTGCTTACATGGTTTTATCTTCCCACACAAACAATCGACAGGTTGTATATTTAAAATTTCAGAATACAGGCTTCAATATGCTGGCAAACGAAATGCTCACTTTTGTATTTGAATCATTTCAGGCAAATAACCGCACATAATAAATTGAAACTTACTTTTGACGTATGAATTCACAGTCAAACTAAGTGAAGCGTACCCCTCAAGATTACATTAATGAATTGATCATTTGGATATTGAACCCGCCAGTCGTTTCAAGAATGCAATAATGAATTGATTATTTGATTATTGAACCCGCTAGCCGTTTCACGAATGCAATAATGGATTGATTATATGAATATTAAACCCGATAGCCGTATCCGATTTGAAAAGGCGCGGTCATTGTTCAAATTAGAAGTCCATTCCTGAAGTCCAATAAGATTGTTCTATTTGACGAGGAATCCTGAAAATGAACAAACTGCACTGTAAAAACACTTCGAAAACAGTCGATCGCAAATATTCACCAAATAAAAAAAAGTCTTGCGATGGCTTCGCCCGTAAACTATTTTTTTCGACCAAGAATACATGCAAGAATTTCTACAAGCTCGTCAAGATGTAAATAGGCTAAAAAAGCTAGTGATAACATTCCATTTACAACATTTACAAGAAGCTCTACACAACCCTCGAACTCACCTTTCCCACCATGTCTGACGCCATGTGGAAGTGGTTCCGATCCATCATCACGTGTTTGCATAATCCAATCAGAAATGGACTTCTGATTTCAACAATGATCCGCGCCTTTTCAAAACGAATACGGCTATCGGGTTCAATATTCAAATAATCAAATCATTAATGTAATCCTGAGGGGTACGCTTCACTTAGTTTGACTGTTAATGTCTACTTAAGATCTTTGCTTTCTTCAACAGAAGGTACAGCTGCTGATGACAACAAATTTACCTCTAAATTACTTCAACCAGGGACTGTTCCCAAGCTTAAAAGTGTCACACCAAGCCTCGAAAATTGGTGGGATGAAGAGGAAGAGAGTACAACTGAAAGCACCAAGAACACTATGATGCAGGGACTTTCTAGGAATATTTCTGAAAAAATTTCGCATGAGGCTAAAAATGAAACAAGCAGTTTTGATCAGATTTGGAATTCTGCGTCCAAAGGCGAGCCAGTTCCTGAGAAGAAGACTGAAGAAATTCTAGCTCCTTCTACCGATGTTCTGAAGGATTCTTTGAGGGAAATTTCTCCGTCTTCTAACATCGGGAATGCCAGTGATATCTATGATCTACCTATTGAGCTTCATACGATGGATGGTCACAATCGTGTTGTTAGCCAAAGCTCTAGTGTCTTCGAGACACTGTTTGAAGAAGACCGTGAAGGTCAAGTGGAGTTTCCGATAGGGGCAGCTTGTCCATATATGGGTATTAGAAAATTCAAAAACAAGAGACAGCAGATGAAACAGAAAGAGAATGTATCATGTGTTGCTCACGTATCGACGGAAGAAGACTGTCAAAAGGCGAATAAAGAATACAACATTCACCAAGCAATTCCACATTGCAATGAAGGGCCAGGGCAGGATATTTGCTCAATTGAAGAAACATGGCGAACGAGTCCCGAAAGTAAGCTAACAATTCACTGTGATCTATCAATCTGCAAGAGACATCCCGTGAGCGTCACGGGAATCCACCCATTAGAGGGCGTAGTGGACAAGGAGAAGGAGGGATATAAGTTCAACAACTCCACTGCTCTGGAGAGATTTCTGGGACATTTTATAATCGTGAACACACTACGCAAGTTCAGCTTTTGCTTTCTTCGGTGCAAAACGGGACGTAAGAAATACGCCCAGCAAATCCTGATGTTTCCTCCGTTGTTAGATATAGAGGACTCAGAATTTCTACCAAAAAAGAAAGACCCAAGTCTAATAAACATCAACATTTTAATGCTAGACTCGGTATCGCGCGCACATTTTTACCGTTCTCTGCCTAAAACAGTCAGCACGCTAAGAAACATTGTTTACAATGAGTCAATAAACGCAACAGTATTAGACTTCGAGTTATTGCAAAGTTCAGCACCGTTCACCTTTCACAATGTCAGAGCCTTCATGTCTGGAAAAAGCGACTTTAACTACATTGAGCATTCAAATGGCACATACCAAATAGAGTTGCTGTATAAGAAGTTGAAGAATCAAGGTTATTACACGCTCTTGCAAGAAGATAGCTGCTGGTTTGACGAATGGGGATCCTTATTCACCAACAACATATTTCAAAACAAGACGCCTCACAGTCGAGAGGAATTCCAAAATCGCTGGAGTGGATTTCAGGATGTGGTAAATGGTTATTCTGTGGATGACTATGGCCTGTCTTATTCTTCTTGTGATGTTTTCAAACAGTACAATGTTACTAACCAATTTAATCGGCCCCTCAAGATTTGCTTCGGGGGTAAAGTGTATTCTGAGCTTTTCTTAGATTACTCCTTGAGCGTTTTTCAAGGATATATTGATTCTGGTAAAAGACAGCCAATCTTTGCTTATACGCACCTAAATGCTGGACATGAAGTGACAGGAACCCGCATACGACAAATTGACTACGTTCTATCAGGTTATTTACACGCCATTGCTCATGAAGAAGACACTCTGACACTTGTTTTCTCTGATCACGGGCCAAAAACAACGAAGTTTTCGTTCCAGACAATGGAGGGGCGGGGAGAGATCTATGATTCGTTGTTATTTGCCATAGTTCCAGAAAACGTTGCTAATATTCTAGGATTACGACGAATGCGCGCGATGGTCACAAACCAGAAACGTCTTCTCACAACTCTGGATCTTCACAACACAGTGATGTCGATTGGAGATTCTGAAAGGTCGACATCCAATTCATACTTAAAGGAAGGTCTCTTCTCAGAAATACCAGCCAACCGTACATGCGCAGATCTATCGATCAAACCCTCAGCTGTTTGCAAGTGTGAGGGATGGGACCAAAAGTTTCCTGATAATGACTCTCAATTCACATTCCTTGCCGAATTTGGTTTGGGAATGCTTAATAACAAAATCCAGGAGAAATATCTTACAACTCCCAATGCTGCTGGGGGGTTTGGAAAATGTCAACGTTTGGTTGGACATCGATTTGAAAAAATACGCAGAAGGAAGGTTGGTGAAGAGTATTTTCTGACAATGGATCTAATTGTCCTACCAGGGAGAGAGATATTTGAAATTCAATTGAGATACCCTCTAGGAATCTTAGCAGAAAGGCGAAAGGGTTTCCCTGCTGTTATGGGGACGCGAAGAGTGAGCATATATCGTAAGTACGAGAAATGTGTCGATGAACATGTCAAAGTGCAACTATGTGTTTGCGATTCGCACCACTATGGAAGAAACATAAGCGAGAAAAATGCGTGGAAATGGTTCGAAGTTAGTACTGGATCGGATGTACTGGAAACCGTATTCAGAGCAAACAGTTTTGGCACAAATTCTGAAGTCAAAGACTTAAGCGATTCGTGCTTATTATTAGTAACGCGGAAACGTGAAAACCTCAGCGTAGCCTTCGAAGTAGCGAACGCTTGCAAGAAGCGAAGGTACAAAGTCAGAATTACAGGGAAAGGCAAAGGAAAAACCTTATTAACAAGAAAACTGCCCTTTTCTATCATTCTAGAACCAAACACAGTGCACTTTGCTCTGAGCGTTCATTACTTAGAAAAACCTTATGGTTTTTATATGAAGACATCATTTGTGGGTTATAATGTTTGACATTAGTCTGCCAATTATTTACCAGAATCGTCAATTTAAACAATATAAAAACAGTTCTTTGATAAATCAGCAAAGTGAAACTTTTTATATGGTATAACCTTATTTTAATGTTCAAAGTACACGTACATTGTAAATAGAGCCAAAGCAAATTGTAAATATATTTTACATGTGGGATTCAAAGAGATTGCCTTACCCTTTACCATTAATCACTTGTGTTTGTTATTTTTAAACTGTGTTGCTTAATTTCCTTTTTTATTTTCGATCTATTCCTCCCAACACCCAAACGATTATCGGAAAATAATGGTTAAAGAATTCGAGAGTGGTCGCTGAGATTTGATAGATGAGAGGACCAAAATTTTGCCATCAAAAGGAACTTTTATGTGAAGAAACAACTACATAAAAAATTGACCCCTTGTTATGTACATGATCCCCCAGTTATTTCTTGTGTAGCAGGTTGTTTCTTAATTCCTCGGGCTGCACAAGGGACAAGATTACCACGTGACCTCGCAGGTACAACCTGTTGCTTTAAGTGATCAATCGATAGAGTAACGCTGATGTGAAAACTGCTCGATTAATTATCAGAGGCGGGCGCCGATTTCAATTTGCATGTAATGTTTTGAAAAAGAGAGCTTGAGAATGAAACAGCTTTTAGCAATCGACTAAGATGACAGTAAATGAGCCTTGTGGGGCCCGAAAGATTTTCTTCATTCCTACAGTGACCGTAGAACAGACACCAGCAAGGGATGAGGATTCACACGATAGCAAGCTTGTTACTTCTCCACAACAAGAAGGTTGGTAGATTGTCCTTTATGTTTTTTAAGTAAATTTTCTTAAGGCGAAATTTAATACTTTTTACAGGTTTTTTTACCCCGAAAAGATTGAGGAAGAATATTAAAATCATTTCGATGACAAAATGTTTTTCCAATTGCTTGAATAGTTACACTTCACGATGCATAAAATCAAGTAGTTTTCAAATAGTTTTCAAAACATTATAAAAGGATGTACGACTGAAAAATACTCCAAAAGACTAAGATTTCTCTTCAAAAAGCCTTTATGTAGCAAATTCTCAGTGAACAGGTGCAGTAACTTGATAGTCATCTCAAGGAGCGCTTTGATCACCGTGTTTACTTGCTTTAATCTTTTAAATGCTTCATGGTGTTTTATTGTTCGAGGCAAATTCGTTTGGTTTCAGTGTTGTTCTACCAATTTAACGGAAACAAAACATTTACCCCATCTCACTTGTCAGAATCATCGACCCTTAACTTACACAATCAAAAACATCTTCATGTGACAGTCGACTTAGGTAAAAAATTGTAAATGAGACGGTCAACTGAGTTTTAAAAATTCGAGCAAAAAAATGGGCAACCTTGTTGTGAAAAGGTGCGATTATGAGCCGAAAATATAAATATGAAAAAGTTTAAGGGGTATTCTATGCTGTATTCTACCATTTTTTTTATTTATGATCTATAGAAGGACGAACACGGAGGCGTCAGATAGTGACACTCTTGCCTACGGTTCGTTTTGCACGCTTTGAAATCCCCTCTCCCTCCCCCCCCCCCCCTTTACATTTTGACCTCTTCTGTAATCTGCCTTAAACCGTCAAGCAGGGTAAGTGAAACACTCCCAGGAATCAATAAGCTAGCATTTGGCTTGAGGCAGAAATTGATCTTATCAAGAAATTTTTCGGCTTTTAATTCGTTCCTTTTTCTCGAGGCGTTCTTTGTCACCGTGGTCATTGTTGCAACAGTCATCTATCTTGGCATTGTCAGGGATTTCTTCAGTTTGGGACAGTACACAGCGGTAACGCCAAAAGAAGACATGCTGGTACAAGGTGAGTCAGAACAAGCAGTGGAGAGAGGAAATGAACAGAACGCTCACAATTTAAAACCCTGAATACTGAAATAATTTCCACTTTCAAGGATGTTGTTTGGTTGTAAATTAGAAACCATTCTTGCTAGGTGTGGGAGAGCAAAAGTACTTCAATTTCAACACGTCTGGTCAGTGAAAGAAAATAACTATGTAACAATTTACAAACCCTTCAGTCGACACCATCAACACCAAAGCTTTTCAGTGACGATAAATTAGCTAAGTACAAAAAAAAATAGCGCCAAAGAGGAGCAGAGACAACCCAAAGTGATGTTTAAAAAATGCGTCAGCTATTGTAGGTGCTAATTCTAGATATTTTATATCAAATTGTAGGCAGTACAAAATTACCTTCAATTTAAAGGAAGCCACAAAATATTAGCTTTCTACGAATAGAGCAAAACTTTTCACCCCTAAATAAAGCCTCCCCATACTCAGAATAAAAATGAGTACCAGAGCTTTTTTTCGCGGGGAGGACTGACGAAACTCTGGGGAAGGAAGGTGTTGCATTACTTTTAGTCTCTTAATACTGTGTAAGCTGGGATAAGAGCCCGAATGAGAAGTTATGTAGCTCGTGTGCAGACTTTACCGTCGCATTCAAGTCCCCATTTTTCAATTTACAGGGAAGAAGCTCTTTTTGGATCGTATAATGAGCCAGCCGCATGAGGACGAGACCTTGTTCGGGGAAGTGACAGCCGGACGAAAGTCGTTAGTTGGTATTTTTGATGTGCCGCACATCGAAACACGAACAGGAGAAGTATTTCACGCCACGAAAAGGGACAAAAGTAGCAAGGGTCAGCTGTTACCAAGTGGTGATGATGTTGACGATGATGATGAAAGCGGCGACAGCAATGCTGATGATGACGACGATGACGACGATGACGACGATGACGACGGTGACGACGATGATAGTGACCATGACAAAAAACTGGATAAACTGGATCATAATGAGGAGACCGATGATGAGAATGATGATGATGATGATGATGATGATGATGATGATGAACGTCATAGTGATGATGACCATCATGAAGAGGATCTGCGCAATGGAAAAGAAGGTGATGATAATGATGATCATCAGGAGGATCGGAAAGACAAGGAAGTAGACACTTGGAATAATTTGTCCATCAGAAGTCGCCCTAAAGAATCCCTTCCATCATCAACAGAGAAAATGACGGAGACCCCTGGTAATTCTGGACACGATTTGATCAACTCTACAAAGCGTATATCACAAAAACAAAAGAATGCAAGATTTCCTTCATCGAAGGTTGCAATTTTAACGGGTTTGTCATCAAAAGTTATCCTCAAAGAAAGTCAGAATCCTTTACTGCAAAAAGAGTTGAACACTTATGATAACGATAAAGACATACTTTTTCAAAAGTCAAATAATTTCTTGAATTTGGGTGATTCTGACAAATTCATCCAACCTCCAGTTAATTTGTTGATATCTCAAGGCTCCAGGAGGAACGGAAACCGGAGATCGTCTTCATTTCAATTAAACAAACCAATTCCACCACCTGTGGGATTTTCACCAGGTCCAAGCATTTCGGTAACAAAAACATCGCTTTTTCTTCAAGACAAATCGGTTGTAACTGAAAATTACAACAGAACATCAGTTTGCCCGCTCCTACAAGTACGAAAGAAAAAACCTACAAAATGGACTGAGAATGTCCATTGTATTCCACGAAACCGCAAGCGTTCCTTTCAGAGTTGTTTAAGGGCTTTTAAGGACTATGACCTAGATGGCAAATCTCTAAACTGCGGAAACAGTCCACCAGACGAGCCAATTTGTTCAATCGAGGTTATTAGACAATTTCCAGGCCTAAGGATACCAGCTGTTAAATGTAATACGTCATTGTGCGGAGCAAATCCTGTATACGTTCTAGAGTTCAGTCCTATTTATGGAATACTTGAGGAGCGTCATCTGTGGAAACGCTTCTTCACTTCTCGAGGGCTTGAAAAGTACCTCGAGAGATACACAAACACAAATTACGGGATTAACTTTAATTTTTGCTTTCTCCTTTGTGTCCGAAGAGATAGGACAGGTTTCATCGAAAATTTGATGACATTTCCCGTTGCGGATAAAAAGACTAGGAGTAGGGTAAGCGATGAGGTGAAGTTCAAACTTAACATTTTGATGCTCGATTCTGTGTCACGGCCGCATTTTTACCGATCACTTCCCAAAACAGTCTCGTCCTTGAGAGAAATAGATCATTTAGAATCGTACAACGCTACTGTAATGGATTTTGAGTTGCTGCAAAGCTTAGCTTCGTATACTTTCCCCAATATCAGGGCTTTAATGTCTGGTAGGGTGGACTTGAGTGCTTCTGGAAGGCATGAAAATGAGACATATGGTCTCGAAGTTCTATTTGGAAAGTTCAAACAGCTTGGTTATTACACATTACTGCAAGAAGACAGCTGTTGGTATGATTCTTGGGGTTCGCTGTTTACGGATAATGTATATCAGGGTAACATGCCACGATACAAACACGAGTTTGCCAACCGTTGGAAAACGTTTCGTGAAAAGGTCAAGAATTACGGTGTAGATGATTTTGGTTTATCTCATGCTTCCTGCGAAATTTTCAAGCGCCATAAAACAACCAACCAGTTTAACCACCCGAAGAAAGTGTGTTTTGATGGAAAACCTTTCGCGGAATACTTTCTTGATTATAACGAGAAAGTTTACAACAATGAACAAAAGATAGGAAAAAAGACAAGACTATTTACATACACACATCTTAACACAGGACACGAAATAACTGGAACTCGCATACGACAAGTCGACGAAAGACTTTCACAATACATGAAAAATATGGCTAAGATGGAAGACACGTTGACAATTGTGCTTTCAGATCACGGTCCAAAAACAACTAAATATTCATTTCACACAATGGAGGGCAGATCCGAAAAATACGATCCACTTTTATTTATTGTAATTCCAGACAAAGTGGCAGCAATCCTAGGACAAAGAACACTTCACGCACTCGAGCAAAATCAAAATCGTATCATCAATACTTTGGATATTCACAGTGGGCTTATGTCATTGGGAGAAGCAGCAACATCTTCTACAATAAAAGACAAAGGCATATTTGATTTAATTCCTGCCAATCGCACATGCGCAGATTTACCGATGAAACCTCTAGCGGTTTGCAAGTGCCAAGGTTGGGAAACAATTTTTCCAGATAACGATAAACGATTTAGCTGGCTTGCGGAATTTGCCCTCGGAACTATAAACAACCAAATTCAAGAGCAGTTTCTGAGCGAAGGAAATCAGGCCGGAGGTTATGGCAATTGCCAGCGTCTAGTAGGAGAAAGCTTTACCAAGATTCGTCGTCGCTCCCAGGGAAAACATTACGTCACAACGATGGATATTATGGTAACACCGGGACAAGAGATTTTTGAAGTGCAAATCGAATATCCTCGAGTGCTAAAGAAACAAACCTCCTTTCCAAAAGTGACAGTGCACGAGCGTGTCACTATTTACAGACATTTTCGAAAATGCGTCGACAGCACAGTTAGTTTAGGATTGTGTGTTTGTGACAATAAAAAACTTCCAAAGCAACAAACAAAGCAAAGATGGATAAATGTTAAGAACAGAGACGATGTATTAAATATAATTTCTAGATCCAACAGCTTTGGATCACAAACCAGGATAAAAGATATCCATCAAAGTTGTCTTGTTCTTTTGTATAGGAACCACGGGAGAAGAAGCAGTAGTTTTGAAATTTCTAATACTTGCAATGATAGAACTTATAAAGTGACTATTTCTATAACAGAAGTTGATACCAATAGATTTTTTGTTTCGCGGAAAATTCCATTTTCCATTTTCGTGCGTCAAAGGACAATTCACTTTCTTTTAGCAATTAGACGTTTAGGGAAAACATCACACAAGTTTAGGCTGAGAGTACAGCATGCAGTGCAATTTTCCAGGAATACATGATGTGGGTAATTTTTAATTTTTGTCTTTGTGCGCCTTATCATGCATGTGAATGTATGTTTTTGTTTTGGTTCATCTATTGGCTAATTTGCTGCACAAGGTGCTCTTTTTAATACGGATTATTGTGTTGAAATGAATTAATGAACCTGTTGCTAGAACTGGATCAAGAAAAACACTGATATCTTAGTATGAGAGGATGTGTTTCTTGCTTTCTCGATTACGGTACTAGTCATCTTTTGATATAGAATAAGGGGGGGGTAAGTTTCTAAAGAAACTGTGCTGCTGCGTTGGTGAGAGTAACAAGATAATATTGGTTTTATCAACTGAGTTGATAATTTAATAATAATAATAATGATTTAAAATTTATATTGCGCAAATTAACATGTGGATATGATCAAATGCGCATCACAACACCTTTCGGGGGACTTTGGCCGGACTGCACCAGCAGTTTACAAACAATCGAAGGAAACTTATTTGAAGATGCCCCCTCCCCACCAATTCCCAGTAAACAGGCCATACCGCATCACAGTAATCTCGTGAGTGGATTCTTTGACGTCCCCTGCCTAAGTAACCAAATTAACTAATTAATAGATGCAGGAGACGGGACCTACGGTTTATTCGTCCTTATCCGAAAAGACTAGAATGTCTATCCATTTCTTGATATTATAGAAAGGTAACGCATTCTCCTCAGTTATTTTAAGACCTTGAGTGTTGGTCCGGCCAGGGCTCGAACCATCGACCTCGACCTCCCGCGCAACAGTCCAGCGCTCTAACCAATTGCGCTAACCGAGAGGCGGGGCGTAATTTGACCACCGTAAAGAGTTTCAAAGCTGACGTTTCGAGCATTAGCCCTTCGTCTTTCGCTCTGACGAAGGGCTAACGCTCCATTTACATTATCAACTCAGTTGATAAAACCTAGATTAATTTGTGATATTTCCTATATACCACCTGTGTTCATGGACATTTGAAAAATATTCGAGTAAATATCTTTGAAGTAGCTTTGATAACAGATGCCGTAATTCGCAACGGCAAAACCAATTGCTTGTAATAGTTAATAGATGCAACTTTTGGAGTATCTGTTTTGGAAAAATTGACAGTCCAAATAAAAGAAGGAAATTTGCTACTCTGAACAGTTCAATAGCCAACGATCGTAAAAAAGGTGTCTGATGTGACATAGGTCGGTGACGTTTGTGTGCTGACAAGAGTTAGTCACGAAAAGACCGAAAGAAAAATGAACTGGGGTGCACAAAAGTCTGGTCACGATTATGGTTAGCATGCAGCGTGCAACCGTCAAGTTTTAGATGCGCGCGGGAGGTTGCTAAGCACGAAAAGAACGTAGTAATGCTGATTAGATTTGCCAATCAACTGCTTATTTTTTGCATTTACATAATATTTACGACCCTGCTGCTGTGCATGCGCGCACTGAGGTGGATCTCAGGTTCCATTCCTCTCTGTTCGCTCTACCTTCGCCTGACGACGGGCGACGCTATATCGATGGCGTTCGTCGAGGGTAAGAGTAATCAGTAATTTTGGTCAGCGGGGAAATTATGAAACCCGCGAATATTGCAAAATCCCGCAAAAGGATGACATTTAAAAACCGAAGACAATTTTTGACTAAGACACTAGAATGCGTAATGATGGCGACGACTCAATGAATATTTGAAAATAACATATGTGTACTGCGGTTTCATAAAGTGTATGAAAGCGTTCCTCGCAGTAATAAACCGTACTTATCGGGCAGGTGGAATAATAAGGCCTGAAAAAATTCATGCCCGTACGGGATTTGAACCTATGACCTCTGCGATACCGGTGCAGTGCTCCATCAACTGGGCTAACAAGTCAAATGGGAGCAGGTCATTATGTTGGTTCGTATTAAACCCGTCAATGAATTTGAATATATGAAAATTATATATGTGTACTGCGGTTTCATGAAAGGTATGAAAGCGTTCCTCGCAGTAATAAACCCTACTTATCTGGAAGCGACTAAGTACTGTAGACAGGACTTATTGACTTGCCCTGTTCTGCCAACAGAAGAGGGAACATGATGGGCATGCAATGTATACTTTCAGTGCTTATAACAAGTGTAAAATTATTAAGTCGTAAGTGAAAAAGAGCTGTTCCTTCTATTTAAAGCGGCAGTCACTTTGAAGATAAAGTAACCCTTTATTTGCCTGTCATTATATTTGTAGTGAGGTCACTGACACCAAAACGGCTCTATCATGACCTTGCATCGAGCCGGTGTACTTTAAGCAGAAGGATGGGTACAACTGCGGAATTTTCATTTCTCTCGTAAGTAGCTAACTCGCTCTGCACCCACACGCGACATTTAGTTTTAAGTTTAATACAGAAGTCACTATTCTTATTAAATCATGAGGTGTTGAGGTACGAAATCTTTATCCTCACAATGTAACTAGCATTACCGTTCGACAGGATAGCCCCTGGAAGAAGTGCATTCGATTTAATATACCTTAAAAAACGATTATTTCTGCCTCAAAAGGAATTCAACAGAATATTGCATAAACTTCACTCATTTTTCCCAATGATTGATTGTTATCTTCGATCTTTTCTTTCAGTTTGCTAAATGTTTGTGCGAAGAGTCCTCCGTAGATGCAGCTTTCGACTTAGCAACCGGACGCGCACGAATAACGTCTATGGTGTTCGGCTGCCGTTACGATGACACTCACGAGTAATTAATCTAAGTCACAGCTTGTTTCCAAACTGTATATCCTTTAATCTTGCTAAGCAACGGGTTTGATCCTGATATAGAGTTAAGAGCCAAAGTATGAGACCTGACCCAATAAAAACAAGACATATTAAAATGAATGAGAATGTAATATATGTTCCGTCCGCTGAAGGAGAAATATCAACGTCTGCATATGACGACGATGGAGAAGATTGGCTGGGATGCGACAGTTGTGGCCAGTACTTCCACGCAAGTTGCATCAAAGTGGATTTCTCAGACTCTCTCTGGCTTCTTTGTCTGCTCTTGTTAATTTCACAACATCTTTGCGGATTAGTGACGTAAATTGATAGTGGAGAATAATCTTCCCAGTGTGGGACTGGCTTGAGACTAGGCTAGGCTGTGTACAATTTCTGAAATTCCCGTTATTTCGCGAATTATTTGACGCTTTAAGTGTTGACAAGTTTTTCCTACTAAGTAAGTGAAAAATTGACCCAACGCTGCAAGGAGAATCTCTCTCAAAATTTACTTTTTAAGAGTAGAAGTTACCGTCCAAAATTCAAACGTTACTGTTAGGTTTATTGACGCATTGATAACCTTGTAAATAGTTCAAACATACTGAAAACATTTTCATTAGTTTTTGTATATCTTTATCCTTTGTTCAGTACGATCTTTCACATTTCGGGTTTGAACTTTTCGTGGGGAGCAAGTCCTTCAGCTTACATGACATTTCTTAAATTTAACCGCTGTACTATAAACTTGTGTGTTCGGCGTCACCCAGCCTTACTTACTACCATCTCGCCGCAGACCGTTGAGCGTTGGTGCTGTTTTACCTCGGTGTATTCCAGTCGCTGTTAATTGAACATCCCTGAAAGTGAAAAGTTCTTTGTCTTTAGCTCCCCAAACATGAAACCGTTTGTTTACTTTGCAATCTGTTGCCTCTCGATAAATGCAGTTGGTGAGTACTGAACTACTTTGAACAGTACAGCATTGCTCAGTTAAAAGCTTTCTTCAGACAATTTTTTAAAAATTTGTTTAGAAACAGAGCGTTTCAGCCCACAACTTAGGAGTAATTTGTTATTCTTCGAGAAACTCAACCGCCCGTATTTTATTATTCAAGTTCACCGTAGTGATTGTTTTGACCTCGTTACACAAAACATCAAATCGACTAATTTCATAATTTTACTGAACTACGGAAATAGAAACTTTTTTTATAAGCCTTTTACTCCGAATACTCTTCTAGGTGAGTTCAAAAGATGTGGTCACTTCCATCTAACACATTATGTTCAAAATTTTCGGTGTGTAGACTTGAAGCTTGGCATCCCGTGCGAGATGGTAACGCTATAAACGGCACATAGCGCTACCAAACATATACAATAACGTTAATTATTATCCAACTACACCTAGACGAGTACAAATAACGCCATAGACGAGTACAACTATCACACGGTATTTGCACTCCTCTATTGTAGTACCGGTTAAACAGGTTTTCTCGCATCGCGCAAGCGAAGAATTGGATTGTAGTTACAAAAAAAAAAAAAAGGTGGCGGACAATTTGAATCATATTTCCGACGACGAAGAGTCAGAATGGCTGGCAAATATAGGTCCAAGTTCATAAAATGAATGGAAAGAAAGAAAACAGCTTGACGACCAGAAAATTTCTTCATTTAATGAAGAAAATAGAAAAAGCGACACAACAACGCGCCAATTCCGTTCCGCATCGCATACTTCTGTCACGCACTCCCCGTAAATAAATATCCGCGAAATTCGCCCGCACTGAAATAACAGTTTGGCGTGTTGGATAATAAATAACTTATTAAACGTTTTGTTGTGCAGTAGCGCTGAGTATTTTTACTCGTTATTTGTATTGTGACTCGCCCTACGGGCTCGTCAAAATACGGTACAGCTCGTAAAAATACTCAGCGATACTACACAACAAAACGTCTAATAAGATCTATGAATTTTTATAGCCATTAAGAATATTCTAGAGACTATTGTTATACTGGAAAAAAAATTCCTTCGAGATTTAGTTTTATCACATATCGCGTTCACATACCAAGCTGGACGCCGTTAGACATTTGCATTTTTTATCTTTGCTGAGGAAGGCATACTATTAGCCGAAACGTCCAGAACAATATATTTTTAGCCAGTGTCAACTTTTCAATTCTTTTTACCAAAAGTTTTACACATCATGTTGTCCGATCCTTTTCAATTTGCGCGAACTAAACCCTGAATTGTTGATTGGCAGCGTTTCGATTATGTGTTGTGAAAGATAGAAGTGTTGGCAACCTTATCTGTGGGTTTGGCGATATTGACCCCTTCTTAAGTGTCTCCTACATATCTTTTTACCCGCGTAATGAAAGGCTTTAACTAAAAGCAACTTCCACCCGATAACTATTAAAAATATCTAAAAAAAAAAAAAAGATTTCTTCAAGTGAATTCGATCGTAGCCTTAAATAAATATTACTGACTTGACTTGGGATAGCGAAGTTTAAATGAATGCCCATTTCACCGTTCAATTTGTTTGTTTTGCCAATTTGGACGAAACGAACCAAAAAAAAAGACTTTCATTTGAATTTGAGAAACCTAAATTGATATAAGAAGCATGGGGGAGTCTAGTGTAAAAACGGCAGTCATGCCAAAGTCAGCACATTTCCTTTTTCCTTTGTTGCACCAATGACGGTGCGTGACAGGTCACAACATGTCAAAAGGAAATTCGTTTAACTCATTTATTGTTGATCTCCTTTCTTTATTTGCTTTTGCCTTTCTATGTTTGTTTTTTTTTATTATTATTTTTTTTCCTTTTCTTTACTGGTTTGATTTCGAGGAAGCTGCGACCGGAGTAAGTCATAATTTGCGTCCCATTGGCAGAGCTCGGCAGTAACCCCTCATAACTGAGAATAAGACGAACTCATCCCAGCAAGTGAGAGAATAACATAGAGCTGCATTCAGAGAAAGGCGTCGTCAATCGTGACCCACTCTCTTTTACTTTGCTTAGCTTGTTTCTTTGTTTGTTCATCTACCGTCGCTTCTTAACGAATGTTTGTTTTTCTTGTTTTCTTTGTTTTTCCTTTGACAGACGCTGCCCTCGCACAGTGTCACTCCTGCATTGAAGCTGATGAAGCTTCTTGCTCTGCAAACCAGAAAAACCAAACCTGTGCGTCAGATCCACTCTCACTGGGAACCACTCACTGCGCTTCCGTTGCAATATCTTATTATGGAAATGAGACTGACATCCTAAATGACAAACTACATGAAGGCTTCATAAGAGGATGTATTGATTGCGGAGGTGAATCCATCTCAGCTTAATCTCCCCTGAGAGGCACTTTTAACTCACTAGAAACTCGATTTTGCGTTTTTCGTTCCTTACTCGAACCCAGTCTTCCTTAGTGTCTTGTGCCGCCGGTCATTAACTCTTTTAGTAAAGTTATAGCAAACGCAAAAGAAAGTGTGAGACATGCTTTAGCTCTCGTTCAGTGAATGCAGTCAAGTAGGAAGATGACATTAATGTTCGAACAATGTTACCTTTTCCCAAATGGTTTCTGGGTGATTCGGTGCCAAATCTCGCTAGAGAAGACGTTTCTTTCTTTTTTGTTTTGTTGTTTGTTCGAAGTAAATAGTAATAGTAGTCTTTATTTCTTCACAAGATAAAAATTGTCTATCTGATGCTACAGAGGGAAACGGTAAAAATTATTAAAATGGTTAAAAATAGTAAAAACGTAAAAAAAGTTCTAAACTTACAAAGCTACCTTGCATTTGAAAATTGGACGATTTTACTTAAAAATCTTTGAAAACTTTTGGGCAATGACAAGAAATGTTTCGAAAGCTTTGTTTCGTTTCCTTTTTCTTGGAGATTGAATTTGTAAGAGGTTGGAAATCTGAATTTGCCACTTTATTGAATATTTATTTGTCCTGTTCTTCTTGAAGACAAAAATGCAGCCTGTTATGCTCTCGAGGGTGCGCTCAAGGCTCAGAAAACATGGAGCGTACGGAACTGTCGAATTGAATGTTGCACTGGTAACAACTGTAACACGCAGATACCAAACCTACATACTGGCCGTGGTAAAAGAGTTTTTACACCAGAAGGTAATCAGATGGCAAAAAATCAGCAAATAACTTTGTTCTGACCCTTTTGTAAGGGTACAATCATGTATGTCATATAAGCGTTTTGAAATGTTTATTTTTCCGAGCAACTTAAGGCTCCTCTGTTTTCCCTGTATAACTAAACTTTCAGTCTCGCTGGCTAGCGTTGTGGACGACTTTAGAGGTTTAAGCGCGTCTGACTTTAATCTCATCGCTCAGAATGCCGTGACACATCCAGGTACTTTTCAAGTCTACCCGCCAGTGGCGGTAAATTTGAACGGTCCTCCGAGAAAAGATGGGAAACAAAGAGGAAAATTGCTGTCCATCGCCTACTTCGGCCTTAGTTTATCTGTTTTCATCACAAACTAGTTCCCCCGTAGCAATTTGCCAGCATTAGGATCTTATAGAAGAGAGTTCATAAATAAATTGATACTAAATTTTTTTCCGCGGTCTCCATAACCAATATCGAATATGCTTTTAAAAATGGTTATTTGCTGGTATAGAAGCTGATCTTCAGGTTGAATAATCCGATGAACTATTCCCGAAACTTCACAGTCAGCATCTGCAAAAGTTACTCCTATATTTCAGGAGGGAAAGGAAAGACGATCTGGTGCGAGGACTTCTGTAGAAGACACACTTGCAATCAATTTGATCGTAGGAACTGTTTAAACAAGACTTCACTGAACTTTTTTGCGACACGCATGATTCTGTCTTGCCGGTTTCTAACCGCCTGCATATACCTTCTATTTCTATTGAGGTTGTTACATTTCTCAATTTTTTTTTTCTTGTATGGTCCTACAAGCATGGAAGTAGACCACTATCCCATCAACCTGGTTCGTTCCAGACTTAGTTTTAATCCTTTGTCACTCAATATTTCCGCTTCCATACCGAAAGACTGCCAATAGTATGTTGCTATAACGTTAAGAAGAAAATATTTATCCCTCCGCATGATGTATGCCCCACTCATTCACAGATGCGAAATTCGATATTATCCGAGAAAGCTTGCTCGGTCTTGTTTTGACCACGAACGCCTTCTTAATTTTGACGGACCCGCTTGGGAAAAGGTGAAAATGACGAGGGAAAAACTTTACTTTGTAGTACGAAAATACACAAAATCGAAAGCCATGATATTATAGTTCAATATTTCGGTGGTACATTGTTAACTTTTTATACAGAGAGTCGGCAAGATCATATAACATCCAAAAATCGCACTCGATTTGAGTGGGCCGATGAAGTGGGCGTGGTCACGAAATTCAGTAAGAGACTATTTGTACCCCGTGAGTTTGATATGTAAATTGTGCAGTCAATATTTTACAGCAGTCGGGTGTTTTGCCCAATTTTACAGAATAATTTTGTTTTTCGACCTCCGAAAATGGTACAGTAATAGATGCTTTGTTTGAGATTAATCAACACTTATCAAGGCACAATGTGGTCGGTTTTCCAGGTATGCCCAATTACCCTAACAACAGAGGCTTTTACCGGAAAACCGCATGCCGGATCGACACCAGAGTTTTCTTTTCCAGAGATGTTTCTCCCGCACGAACATGGTAGTCTGCTTACGAGAGTTGTAATGTTTGAAATTATATTCTCAATCAAACGAGAATTCTTGGGTGAAGGTACACTATTCTTGTTTAAAGCATCTGGTTTTTGAATCCGAAAGGAGTCGGAAAGGTAGGTATTTCGTTCAAATTCCAGAATAGGTCGCACGCTGGTTAGCGCTTGAGGCCACGAAAGAAAGGCAATTATTGTGCAGTCGATATTTTACAGCAGTGGGGCGTTTTGCCGAATTTTACAGAATAATTTCTATTTCATTTTTAACTTTAATATTTATTTATATTTCTTATTTTGTTTATATTTATATATTTTATTTTTTATTTTTTTCATCATATTTTCTATTTTAATATTTTTTATTTTAATATTTCTTATTTTAATATTTCTTCTTTAATTATTATTTATTATCATTAGTTGTTTTGGACCCTCGACATATTATCCTCACCCTCGACATGTAACCTTCGACCCTCACAAGACAGACTCCTTGTGACAAACGCACACATCACGTTGTTTTCATTGCATCTGCTTTGATCCGACGAAGGTATGACCGTACTAATTAGCCGGTGTTTGGCCCCTTGAAGAAAGGATCGTTATATAAAGATCCCTCATGCTAGTTCGGATACCATGGTATTCATTTAAAAGCGAAACTGTTTCATCATTAGTGGCGCAGAGCCCCATACCCATGGAATATGGTCAACCTCTTTTCGTTTGGTTGTTACGTGACTGACCGAGCGTACGTACGTACGTACGTGCCCTCTGTCATGTATGCTACCACGAAAGTACTATAAGCATCATGGGATGCAATAAACCACCAGGTTTGGAATTCAATATGGCTGTTGTGTGATACAGGGGTCAATTTAATAAAGAAAATACACTTGTAGCTTTTACACGTGTAATTTACACGGGTAAAGTCCGACTAGTAAATACAAGGATTTAACAAAACAATATTCCACACTGGAATTTATACGTGTATCTGGAGTCAGTGAACAATTGTAAATTACAATTGTAGAATTATAGGAGGGTTAACCTCATCGAGAAATTCTTACAACTGTAAACTCCGCTGAAATGTAATAAGTGATTTTTTTACATATTCAATTAAAAGTCGCTGCTGTCCTTTCGATACATGCGGCTTTGCTTCCTTTGCTTCCTTTGCTTTATTTGTAAACAGTCGTTGAGCATGTTATCCAAACAGCAAAAGTTGCTTTTGGCTCACCTTGTGAAGGAACATAAAATGAAAGTTTTGGCGCCATTTTCGTCGACATTGACGAAGAAAGTAAACGGAGTTCGTGCAAACGTAGACAGCGCCAAAACACTTGATCTTTTACGGGCCACTATTCGCAGGGCTACACTTAAAAAAAGTTAGCGAATCTAAGGAGACTGGCGCAGGGGGAAGTGGAGAGCCCACCGAGCTAGACGAGACTGTCCTCGATGTTTTAGGCCACGAAAGTGCTAACATAGATCCCGTGAAAGTCGACGATTCGGATATTGTATTTGGAGAGGAGATCGTTGTCACAACAACTCGTAGCGTTGAAGGTTTAAATGATTATAACCCATATTTAAATGTTTCAACCATTTTAAACGTACGTGCCTTGTCGGTAATGAAATGAGAATTATTTTTAATACGTTTTCAAAAGGGGGAGGAACTATTGTATGATGCCAAACTAGAATAAAAGTTTTATGAACCAGCTCAGATGTTAAAGCCGTTTGGGAAGAGGTACCTCATCTTAAATTCTGAAACGCTGAACCCCACCCTGCGACACTTATCCGTCCCCAACGCGGACAAACCGGAGCGACTTCTAACCCAACAAATGATGAAGTTATCGTTATGTTCAATTTCTTTGCACTAGGTGACGTTGGAAGTTACACTGAGGAAGTGTAAGTTTCTACCGCAGAAACTGGGATTGGTGAAACGGTAGAAGTAAGTGGACATAGTGGTGTCGGCCCACCATAAATGTTGCCCAAGCAGGCAGTCGCCGAAACACCAACGCCAACAAAAATTAGACGCCAAGCTCTGCCATCAGCTGGAAAGAAAGCCGGGTACTCTCAGGGGTAGAGGGAAATCATCAGCTGCAGAAAAGAAAACAACAGAGGACGACATACTGCGACTTAGAAAGAGGAAGCTCCAACTAGAAAACGTTAAGCGGAGATTGGAGATAAAAAAACTGAGAAAGGATCTTGAAAATTAATTTCATTAAACGGCGTCCAAAACGTAAATTAAAATGATTATATAACTAGCCTTTGGACATTTGCCGAACTTATTATATTGTAATGCTATTGATAGTCTGAGGAATACTGTAAATTGGTGATGGGCGATATCAGAATTTTGACCTTCCTTTTTGGAAGTTAGGTGTAAGCGCACTTTGTGCAATAAAACGTAATCATTATCGTCATTGAATAAAAAATGGCTCACTTATTTGGCACGATATTTAAACAGTGGCAGTTTTCAATTCAGCGTCATTTGTAAACGTCCACACATTTATAGGAAGTGCTTCAGCAGCTGCCGCCTTCTGTCCTCTTGTTCCTCTCCAGGACCGATGTCCAACTCATGTGGACATTGTCGAGATCTGCACCGTCCAGCAGATCATCGCCATTATCGCTGAATAGGATGCAGAGGTTGAGCAATATAACAGCAAACTGGACAAGCTCGGCAGCTCTCGTCATGTTTTTCACTCATCGTGTTTTCTTATGTACCTCATTAAACCTGGGGCGAGCCCCTTCTCCGTCTCCCCTGAGAGGAGGGATCAACCAATTCTTACTGGCGTAGGTAGAGTCGCCTAAAAAAACTGCTCCTGGGAATGGTCTATTCCCTTGTTGCTCAAAGGCGGTCCACAGAGAGCTTTCTTTAATCACTCGTGAATCATGCCACCTTCCAGAACATCGACTGCTACAGAAGTAGTAGTAGAAGTAGAATGTGTAATCTGGGCCTGATACTATGGCGACATTCAGAGATTTGGAATGATGGCGGTTGACGTTGGCGTCTTTACCATTGTGAGGTGGGTTCACTTGAACGTGAGTTCCATCGACGCATTTTGCGACACACGGAAAGTCTGCGATGTCTCTGAATTTAGCGGCGATACTTTGAGGCTGGCGAGGCCATCGTGTGAACTCTCGCTTCAAGCTTAGTATTGCAGGGATAACGCGATGAATGATATGGCATACTGTTGATGAGGAGATACCGTGACAAGAGTTCATTACGTGCTAGAAGGAATTTGTTCCAAGGAAGTGGAGAAATACTAAAAGTTGCTGTCTTGCCGTAAGTGTTCTGTTAAGTCTCGTTCTATGCTCCAAGCGCGGGCCTATTAATTCCAAAAGGTGGACGAAGGCGTCCATAGGGAAACGAAACTTCTCTCAAAATTCCCTTGGATTTTCGATGTCGAAAAGTCGTCTGTTTTGGAAGTCCTAGGTCGACGGATAACTTGACTTTCCTCTTCACTAGAAGATGACATATTGTGACACTCCAATGTCCTTTTTCAGGAGAATTACTCGATGTTTACAAGTGAAATGCGACATGCATTTTGCACTTGTGATTTACAAGTTGGACTCTTGTAAAAATATAAGTCGGACTCTTGTAAAAGTTTTATTAAATTGGATACTTACCATCTTTTACACTTGTAGCGCTACGCCTGTAATTACAAGTCGGACACTTGTAACCTGGACTTGTAACGATGTTTACTAAACTCGTTGTCGCCTGCACTTGTAAATGCAACGGTCCAACTTGTAGATTACAAGGGGTTTTGCTAAAAGCAGGCCCGCGGCCCACGGACCGCGACCGGCCTGACAGCCCGAGGACCCAGCGGCCCGCAACTGCCTGCGACCCGGAGGCCCGGTGGCCCAGTCCTGATTTTCCACAGTCTTTTTGTCCAGCAGTAAATCCACGCGCATGCACAGATCGACAGTGAGTGTTTGTTCATGTTGTTCAGATGAAAACGTTTTGATTCTCTGTTCATTAGTCTCCTTACAGAAACCGATAGCACAATAGAGGACTTTCATTATCGAACAATCAAAGTTATTTTCAAACCCTACTTTGAAAGTGAAAATATCATAAGTAATGCGATGTGTGAACTGCGAATCTTTTCTATACAGAGACATGTCGATCTATTTACAGGAACTCCACCCCAAAAGGAAAGCGTGTTCTCAAACATTGCTTTCCAGCCATGTAAGTACCGTATTTATTCGAATACGGTAAGCGCCCTGAGCGCTTATTAAATTTTTGGTTCTCAAGGGCGGTGGGCCCTTATTCGAGGCTGGGTACTTCTCAAATTTGCATCATTTTTAGCAAGTAGTAGAATTTTAGCTGTTCATTGAAAGTTTTTATAAACTACTAAGCAAACTCTGTGTTCGGGTAAGTCTCTTAGTGGTACTTACTCGATTTCAATTTCATTGTCACTAAGGTCAACAAGCAAACTCTGCTTCTCAGTCGGGCGACCGATCGATTTGCTGACGTTACGCTGTCGGACATCGAGGAGGCAGCTCCTTATTCGAGGTTGGGCGAAGAAATGCGGTACGTTATTTTGGGTGTAAAAGGAGTACTTTTCGTCACGGCGAAAAGTGAAAAAATCAAACCCCGCCATCAAGAAATTCAAATTTGTTGTTTGTGTTGTGCTTTAATTTTACCCTTGTTCATATTTTCTTTTCATTTGTTGTTATGATATTTTCACTTTCAAAGTATGGTTTAAAAATAACTTACATCGTTCGATAATGAAAGTCCTCTATTGTGCTATCTGTTTCTGTAAAGAGACTAATGAACAGAAAATCAAATGTTTTTTTTTTCTGAACAACATTCAACAAACATAAACAAGGATTCAAATGATTAAATGGTAAACGAATTCAAGCTCACTGTCATCAATTTTGCACGCCCAAACCCGATGCAGATCTCTGCATGGGCGTTGATTTACTGCTGGACAAAAAAACTGTGGAAAATCAGGACTGGGCCACCGGGCCTCCGGGTCACAGGCCATTGCGGACCGCTGGGCCTTCGAGCTGCCAGGCCGCTGGGCCGTCGCGGGCCGCAAGCCGTGGGCCGGAAGCCGTGGACCGTGGGCCGTTAGCCGCGGGCCGCGGACCGTGGGCCGCGGGCCGTGGGCCATGGGCCGCTGGGCCTGC